ATTCATGTCGTTTGTTATGATTTTATTTTTGCCTATAAATTAATATCGCCAACTTAAAATGAATGATATTTTCAACGACGCCGGGATAACGATATATTCCGCGCTAAATACTGTAGCTATTTTATACGTTCTAAATTGCAAGAAAATAAAAAATGTATATATTGTCATGTTCGGTCACAATCGAAACTAAGGATGAAAACATTTAATTACGACACAATTTGCTTTTAGATTTATTGTCGGGGCCGCAAACTATTTCGACTAAATTGAAATATACGATGATAATTTATTAAAATTATCAATCAAAAACATCCGTGTTTTAAGTACTTCAAGTCGGCGCTAATTGAAATCCCTTCATGTCAACTGTAATTTATTGCCGTGCTGCACACGGCTGCCTTCGATTACGATAAAAATTGAAATACGTAATTGTGAAATGTTCTAAATCAAAACCTGGACGGCGACGTTAGTATATGTGCGTCATACTCGCTATTCTTATGGAGATCGTATTTTTATGAGCACGAAATACGGTATTCGAATTAGACATTCCTGCTTCAAGCATTGTATTAAATTTCTCCAAAATAAACAAATATCACCACACGCGTTTTTGGAGTTTTCGGTTTTCGGCTTTCCGTATGTAGAAAATATTACGTTAGTCGGCGCAAAAATTTTAAAGAAAGAATTTTCGTAAGTTGGATTATTCATATCCAGAGCCTTTCGTAGGTAGAGTTTCTACTGTAGTGTGGATACAACATAGACATCATAAATCATGGCACCAAGCGACATGTAGTACAGCAAGGGGGAGAGAGAGAGAAAGAGCGGAACAGTGACATAAATTAAGCGCATTGATAATAAGTTCATAAAAATCGTCTTACAGTGTTGTTACTAGAAAGCTATTTCTTTTATTTATTTCAAAAATTTTGGGGTTTCAATGGATTCATTTTTCACTTCTGAGATAAGTGGTAATGGACTACAAATTAAGGGTTGCCATATTGACTTTTTTAAAGCCAAATTTAACAATTTTGGCTTTTTTAGAACACGTTTGGTGTCAGAATTTCCGTTTGGCGTTTTGACTTTTGTGATGTTTAACATTAAAATGATATGAAATATTTGGTGAGCAACAATAGCTTATTGCTTAGCTGTTTAACATTTGGATTTCCCCGAGCATCGATCTTCTTGTTTATTTCCCCAGTTACTCCCATGGTAAGTATGTGTACCAGGTTAGGGTTGGGGCATAATTTTATTCCGATTTTCCTTATTTTAGTTCAATTACGAATTCGGGGACTGTCTGTGTTAACCAAATGAATAAACCCAGTGGTGGGATTCCGATATATTGTCAGCCGGTTCCATCACAAAAGTCTTATTTTTCAGCCGGTTCTGTTACAAACAGAACATTGACAGTAACCAGTAATGCTAACCGGTTCGCTGATCTTATGGAAATTCACGAGACGGTTCTATAGAACCGATGCGAACCTGCTGAATCCCACCACTGATATATACCCCCTGCCCATGGATTTCAGTCCCTTTACAGAACTTGATGTGAAGTAGGCAAACAAAATTAGTTATCTCCATATTAGTAACAATGTCAACAATGGCGTAGCAATTGTAATTTCTGCAGCCGCTCAAGCAGGCTCGTGAACATTGCCCCGTTTTCAAAGTTTTGCTGTTATTTGTAAGTTTTTAGTTTTAGTCAAATAATAGTTGTTAATAAATAACTTAATGTCATTATGTCTTCCTTTAGTTAAGTTGCAGTGATCAAAATTTAATCTCACGAACGCTGTGATAAACCTAAGCAAAAATTAGATATTAATACGGTACCAGCAGTACGTGGTTGTATAATTTTAATAAAAACATTGGTTTTAAACCAGTTTATAATCGCCAACACATCAAAACACCCTCGAAAAAGCATATTTTTTGTTTTAATAGTGGAGTATAATAGAAATTTTTGAGGTATATCGTAAGTTTAAGTAGAAACATGTACGTATATCACATACTACGGCGGCACCTTATATATATTGTATATATTTAATTGTGAAGTATTGCTGTCGGCCTAATAATTTTTGTTATTAGGTTTTTGATTTTTCAAACTTTTTTTATATATATGAATGTCAGCTTGACTGTAATGTGTGGCCCACTAAATCAACTGATGGCTCTAAATCAGCATATTGTCAACTGTGCAAATCCACTTTTGTGTGAAGATTATAAATCTGACAAATTATGGGGCTTTTGTACTCAGTAAAACTGATGACTTTTTGTGTATTGACCTGGCTTTTTTATTACTGGAATATTACAACCCTGCTACGTATGGTTTTTCTATATCTTAATAATCATATGATAGTAGCTTCGGTCTTGTATTTCCGTATTTTGGTGTAGTTTTGAAGGATTTTATAAGCAGAAAAACTAGAAAGATAACCTGAGCACTCATATCGTTATTCAAGCAATTCGGACCGAACTCACGAATTCTGCTCCAAGTACGATTTATTTACCTCGCTCTGGCAAGTTCAACTAAACCCGCATTTCTCGTGTCAAACGCCAGTTAGTTGATGTGAATGGAATGCTGGAGCTGGTGGGATACTGGTAGGTACAGCAAAGACCTTTCTTATAGAAGAAATTGAACTTTATACGCCACATTTGCAGAGTTAGTAAAAATCCGGTACCTCAATCTGTTACTGGTACTCGCACAATTTTTGAATTTTCACTATAAAATCGTTTGAACGGGCACCAACTGAAACTTTAATTCAGGTACGATAATACTAGGATGGTAATGACATAAGCAAAGTTGTGTTTCAAGTAAAAACGTGAGCTCACTTACCAAGATTTGATCGACAAATTTTAAATACACTCACTCACTGTATGTTAAAAAGTTAACATATTGTCAGCCTAACTACCGGTAGTGCCGTAATTTTTATATTGATCTGTGCGGCGTGCAACATGTTGCTGATTTCATAGTTTGTTACATTACCATGTGGGCAGAAGTGTGATTTCACTATTTCCGACGAAATGGTAATTTTATTATCGTATCTTTTATGACGTTACTGAACTTGGTATTTCGTTCACAGATTATGGTTAGAAGTCGAACGAGTTCATCAGAAAGAGCAACAGTGTCTACAATTATATACAACACGAAATGGAAATTGCATCTGATTTGGATTCTACTGTTTAATCCGCTTCATCAATTAATATACGCATAGTTTCAGTACCATTGATTAATTGTTCTACCGAAGCAGCGTTGGAGCGATGCTCATCATGGTGCTCGTGAACATGTGAAACATCTAAGGCACCAAAATTTTTAACTTTTTAGAACGCTATGCGTAAAAAAACACATGGTCATTCTTTGTGTGGCAAACTTTTGTTCCTTTGCGCGAAGATCGTAAAAAGGAATCTTTCACAGATTAGAATTTAGATTCAATTTAATTTCTTTTGTTTTTTTTAAGATTTACGTGTTCGAGTCGCCACCGATCCTAATAACCAGTATAACGAGAATTTCGGTCGGAGACCGAAGACTTATCGATCGTTAGGGGATCCCCCAAAAAAGAAACTTCGGTTTCGATTCATGCGCTCTCTAATTTCATAGCGACATCGCGTGTCCCGTCACTAATTAATCAATAAGACGCTAATTATACGACATAATTCATCCAAAATCAATAGGCTTCTGATCCGAGATATGATGAATGCACATGCAAAATTTGGAGCGGATTCAATCTAGGTTTCGTGAGATATCGCGTGTATCTAACAGACAAACACACAAAAAGACAAATACCTATCAACATACTTACCGGTCAAGATCGATAAGTATTCAATCAAAGCTTTCTACATCTTTTCACGACCCACTAAGTTTCCTTTTGCGACACACCAGTGGGTTGCGACCCATAGTTTGGGAACCGCTGATCTAAGGCGTATGGTTGCCTCAAATACCACTACGTTATTGCCAGATCGAACCCGTTGGATCGGTTTCTAGGAATATAATCAGGCCTATCGATGCCGTCGATTCTGACTCATGGCTTCATTCGGAATTACACTCGGACCATGAATTTGATTGACGAGCTGATGCTACCTGACGTGACAACTCGAAACGGTGATAGTGGTAAAAAGTAATTCAATCGAAGCACCCAATCTATCATGCGCGGGACCTGGGGGTGAAATTACTCCTTTTAATTCGTAACACCTTTATTTAATCTACTGTTAGATTTTGTATTTTATTGGTCGAAACACTGCTACCGGTTGCAGCAATGCAGCTGTGGTTGTTTTAGCTAGATTTCTCTTGTGTTTGGGTCTTTTATGTCTGTAAAATTGTTGCAAGTTTCTAAGTAGGGTACCAAGTTATGTTTATTTTTTAGTTTATGGTCATTGGTTTATGATAGTCCTGAATATGTTAGTCAGTAAAATGACATTGCTGTTTGAGTATAGTGCAATTACAGTGCTTGATTTTAGGAATTGTCTTCAGATTTCAAGTCGTTAGTGTTTATATAACGTTATATATTGTTTTTCTCACATTTTGATACCCAGTATTTGTTATTTTTATTGTATTCTTTCTTTTCTGATGATTCATTGTAGTATTTGATTGTATTAAGATTCTTAGTTAATAAATAAGATTGAAATAGCATTAATTGGAGTGATTTCTGGGAAAAAGATTGACATCAGACCATATTAAACGATATTTCGAACTGGGAAATTCGTACATAGACTGACAGTACGCTACAGATTTAAAGTGAAAGCATCACATTTTGGAAAGTCAAGCCGACTCAAGTACGGCGCAGGATACAAATAAAATAAAAATTGGAGCAAAAAAAAAGTACGGTCGGTGTTGATGATAGAAGATTTATATGTATCGTCCCCTGGAATATATATCAAAATCATAGCACAACATTCTTTAAATCACAAAATATGTATATATATTTGAATCGACATAATTATTTGGTTAACAGAGTATGGAGTGTAAAAGTATATAAACGGCACCCAAAAAAAACACAATCATATAAAGTTATACACAATCCATAAAATAAAACGGTTTATTATTTCATTGGTAATGATGGAACACTTGCCCCTCTTCAACAGTCTGTTGTCGACGATTCAACGAGAGCTCAACGCATTCGCGGGGCAGAATATTGCTTTTAACGGTTTCTAAAAACGTCCATTTCATCGTTGCTAACTCTAATCGATGTATGTGACTTTTTCTGTTGAATAAAGGATAAACTTCGTTGAATTATATAACTATGTTTATTCAAACGCTTTGTTGCCATGTGGAAGTGCATATCCAAAGCTTCTGTAATTACAACTGAGGAAAATTAGCCAATGAGCAGCAAGACTTGTTATCTAAACCTTATATATTGGGAAGGATAACAAAGACTATTAAGGAGTAAAAATTTCAAACCACTGACACATGTCAGATTTACAATTTTTCAACCTTACCTTTGATTTCAACCTATTTATCTCATAACAATTAATACATAGTGATTCGTCAACAATCTTGTGACCAATATTCATGTATCGCTGAGTTATATATGTGACAAGATTATCGATTGGAATTAACAGAACCGACTATCTTCATTTATTGTACAGTATTAGCAAAATTGTAACACACGCAGATAACCAAACTGTGAAACAAACGTATCAATATCACATGATTAGACATTGATGTGGTCAAAACTAGATGAAACGCACAATAACTAACGATGTCTGTCAGTTTGATTGGAATTGGAACGTATTTCATGTTATGCTCGGTTTACTTGTGAGTGGTTTGTCGTTGCCTAATCAGAGTGGCATTAGCAAACCATTAAATTCTAAAAATTATCCTCATGGTTTACCAGACATAACGCTCTTTAGCTTGTATATATGAAATTCATGTCTACTAAATCATTAGATTCTTAATCCACGGAAAAATGAAACTGATTTTGCAGGATACATATTGAACTAAGTGATTCAAGAGTTCAAAGACTCTTGAATCACTTAGGATAGTTATCTTTAATCTTGCTACAGCTTACTTGCACTATATGCATACGGATCCGCCGACACAAAAGCATAGAAGAAGGATAAGTAGTTAGTCTCGCAGAAACCAAATCATACATATTGAAGCTACCCATTTAAACAATTTAAACTGCGGGATTGTAATGTTCCTGCTGTGTGAAAGTATAATATATAAAAGCAAAGTGTGAACCATTTTGGTATATTATTTGCAACATAGGATAAATCAGGGTGGTCCAAACCCGGGCCCGCGGGCCACATCTGGCCCGCCGCTTCATTTTTTGTGACCCGCGTCGCATTGGCGCAAGGGTAAACAAAAATTGAATTTGGTGTTGTTTCGTCATAAGAATAATCAGAAAAATTTTCTGACATCTTGTTACATTACTAAAGTCATTGAATTGACTGGTGTTATGGATAGCTGAGGCAACTAGCAAAATTGAATAAAGTGGTTGGCTAGTCTTAATCGTTACTTGGTTTCTATATTTTTTGTCGGGTCGGGAATATATGCTAACAAAATCGGCTTCATAGAAAACTAAAAATCTAATGAGGAATCTATTAGCCTAGGTTGACTATGCCTGATAAATAAATATTAATGTAATGGCCGACCAATATAATTCCTGCCGGTGTTTTTTTTTTCAAACAGCCTGAACCGTAATACAAAAAATGCTGCCTATATGTCAGAAAATATAGTAATTACCCTCCTGTATCTCAAATTTGGTAAAAATCGGTAATCAATCAATCTGCAGTTATTTGTAAGTTATTTTGTAAACTGAAAAAAGCTGACCAATTCAAACATGTTCTTGACTATTTAGCTAATTGAATCGTACCCTTTTTTGTAGCCGACTCCGATTATGTTGTTGTCTACTGCAAATGCCGCGAAACTGACAGCTTGATCGTATGGAAATGGTCCGCCAGGAGTAACGATTGTCCAAGTGTCATTCACGGTATCATACAATTGTATGTCACTGTGGTCTGTTTTTTTTTTTCATAAAATAGCATATTATGATATATGTATATCGCGAAATATATAGTTAACTTGGATATATATCCTTAACGGAAATGCACAAATTCATTTATTTATTTAAAAAATTATAAAAGTATCATACTCATTACGTATATGACGTCATTAAACGTAACGGGTCTCATCGGGGGGAACTCCATGGGGCGTGGCATTGGAGAGACATTTTGCCAAACGTCGGAAGCAGCGTGGTATCTCTCGACTTCTACTGTCGAATTCCAGTGTTCATCTCTGCCCGCAAAGCAATAAATAAAACCTGGAATAGTAGAGCTCCATTGTACGTGCTAAATGTAGACTTGTTAAGCATTTAAATGCGTCATATTATTTTATTTTATTTCTTTTGTTTCCAATATAGATCTTGTAAGTCCGGTTTGATAATCTATGCGATATGGTGGTAAACGAAACCATTTAGAAATGCCAGGGCCCTATGTATGAGAGTGGTGTGATGTAACTCACCGTTACAGACGGCGATATAGTGATTTTCCCTTTTACCGTTCATATCTCGAACTCTTGTCCATTTATCAATCTTCGGATCATATTTTTCAACAAATTTTCTTGACGATGTGGGATACGGTGCATATCCTCTTCCAACAACATAGATGCATCCTTATTAAAATATTTATTAATTAATTAAGTGTGGTATTGCAGTTAACAGTTTTCTGGGACAATAATGACAAATATAGCATTTTAAAGAAGATTCCATCTTAGAGATTATAGGAAATTCTTACACCTTATTTCAAGTTGCTCACCGTCGAGTGCTTCAGCAGGAGCAAACCATCCATGATTTTCAATCATATCTGCTACTCTTTCCCATTCTGCTTCCGTTTTTCGATAGTCAAGCCTATAGACTGCCTTTGTCTCCATCAACACGTAAATTGAATTGTTTATCCGCGTGGATTGAAAATTGTTGTCGATGATGTCATCAGGAATTTTTTGACACTGTGATTGAAAAATCCGTGGTATTTCTCAACCCATTATTAGAATATAATACGTGTATGGTCAATTCCAATTGAATAAAACAAAATCTATTTCAAGGCATTAACTGTGCTGTGCTTAGATATTTCAAATAACTCAATAGAGCAGCTCACCTTCATTGGGATCCACCTCATAGCAGATGGCGAGAAGGCGGATATATGTCCCGAATCGCGATCAAAAATTGCGACTGCATTTTCTGAACCTTGAAATTAATAACATATGTGTATATAAATCAATTAAAAACTTATATTTTTTCCAGTATTGGGGTCGATCCCAACCAAGTAGAATTACTCCCCAGAGAGTAATCTTGTTGTTTTCGGGAAGGAAATATTACTTTCTTTTCGGATTAGTTTCGCTATTATTATTTATAATTATTGCAATATTAAGTTTCAAAACAGGCAAAGGGAAGAATGTATCGAAGAAGATTGGGAACCACTGGCTATCCAAGTACATATGCATAATTTCACCCACCCTCTGCGCAGACGTCAGAAACTTTCGCTGACGAGGAAAAACTCGATGTTCTGCTGACATTAATACTATCGGTGAGGGATACAAAATAATCTTCATCTGTGGCCAAACCTGGAAATTATACAAAAAGAATCTTCATATTAGAGCGTGTATATAAGATACGATGGCGTGTGAAATTTATCTAACTTCGGAATTTCTCATTTTCATAGCTTTGAGCACATTTGCAGATTGATACTTTGACTTTAACTTGCCATCTATAAAATAATCATGACCTGAAAAATCTAAACTTTTTCAAGCTGTTTGTAAAAAAAAAGCAAGATAATAGTTTCAAATAACAATAGTGTCAAAATAGAATGCTAAGAAAATACCCCCCAATCCAAAATAATTAACTTACTCTTGGGCTTTGTAGCAGTTTCGCGTAGTAAGAACTCGTGCTCTAAAATGTTCTTGCACGACGGACGTCTTGCCGGTTCAAATTGCAATGTCCATTCTATCAACTCTTTTGCTGTTTCGGATCTAGGTATCGTAGGAAGCTCAATATTTAGATTCTTGTTTTTTTTTATGTTGTAATTCCATAAATCGGGTTCGTCGCCAAAAGCATGACGTCCATCACTCAATATGAAATAAACAACCAAACCATAGGAAAAAATATCCGCTTGTTTCGATATGACATCAGAATTGTAAGTTTCCGGAGCTCGATACCCGTCTGTACCGGGACGAATCATGCTTTGTGCAGTAACCGACCGTCCATGGCTCAATTCTTTACTCAAACCAAAGTCGGAAATTTTTAAAGATTTCCCATCTAAGGCAAACAAAATGTTTTCAGGCTTGAGATCTCTATGTAATACGTTGTTTAGATGAATAAATGCGAGTCCTTCGGTTAATTGCCGAACCATTGATTGCTTTTCTGCAAAGATTATTAAGTTTCCAGTGGTCCTCTGCTCAAGAATGTAATCATACAGTGTTTTGGTGAGACAAAGTTCCATGGCTATATACATTGTCGGAAACGGCCCTTCTTCGTAAACATCAGAATGAATAATAGACACAACATGATGGTGTTGCAATTTCAGAAGTATATTTGCCTCTTTTATATTTGCTTCGTCGTACGGAGTAAGGAATTTGATAGCTATGGGGATATTCCCTGTTATTTTACTTAAATGAAGTCCTTGGTAAATGTGTGCTCTCTTGCACAAAGCTCGAGTTTTGAATAATCCAATTTTGTCACTCAATTGTATCCAACCTGTAATGTAAAGATTTAAATGACACCAAAAGGCAACGCAGCGGGGCTTTGGTGTTAAAGTACAAAGAATATTATAGTTCTTTAAACGTTAGTTTAAATGACATTAGTTTAGATAACTGATAACGAGGGACGTTTAATGCAATTTATGTTAGGACAGAAAATAAAAGAAAAACTTCTTGGCTTGTTCAAATGACTTATCACCATTACAATTCTTTTTTTGTTTTGATATTGTGTTATGATATTGAAAAGATAATCGTGAATTAATATTTTATCAGTTTTTGATTAAATACAGAAAATAGGTGCTATACCTTCCCCAAAATCTTCAACGGGATCTTGTGTGTCTCTTTGTGGGCGTTTTTCGTTCACGCTAGATGCTGGTGCAGTAGATGCTATAGAGCAGAAACATAAATGCATCATATTACTTTCACGTGATTGTGCAAAGTACGAAAATATATCCATAATACACTTACTCTGTTCAGTTATGTAAGTGTTGTACGTGTTGTGATATATTTGCTTTCTGAAATCACCATCAATTACTCCATCTGAAAGAATATAAAAATTTTGAATGAAAATTGAGAAGAAAACACCCTGTAACAAATTCATTTGAATCCTAAAACAGATACATGCAATGATCAGGATATGCAATGTTATGCAAAAAGATAACAAATACTGAATCAAAATAAAACTGTAATTATAACCATTCTCCTTAATTACTCTTCTGAAGGTGCGGAAAATTCTCCCAAGTGTACTGTTTTATCAAATAGAATATAATGAACATTCGCAGCAGGGGTGTGCAACATTTTCACCGGTGGACCATATAACCAACTTCGGACGTCTCGCTGCGCCACACAAAAAATTTAGATTTTTCCTGTACACGACGAATTAAAAATTTTTATTTATTAACGTTTTAGTGGAATACTTAAAATTTTGATTTCTTGCATAGTTTGTTAACATCAGCTTTGACAGAAGATGTAGAACCTTCAACTGACTGGTCAAATGTTCATCAGTCAGTTGATTTCTGCAGCTGCTTTTGGTGAGATTCATTTTGGAGAAAGAGACACCGGGAAAATGGCAAAAGATTTAACTCAGGGATACTAGCAAAAAAACATTATGTATTTTCATTAATGTGAGAGTCTTTTTGAACATAAACTGTCGGATTGAGATTTTATGCTTAATGAGGAAAAATCTGAGTGGTAAGGAGGGTCACGCTGAATGGTTTGGCGCGCGGGTCGCCTGGTTGTGGCACGCGGGTCGCCTGTTGCACACCTACTTATCTACAGCGTGGGGAATTTTTGAGTGATTTCCCAATAGTATAACTATACGTTTATCTCGTTTTGCATCATACCTTTCTTAGTCAGATTATACTGCGGTGAACCAAATGTTGCGTTTTTGAAATCTCCTCCACTCACGCCATCTGAATTAACCAATCATTTCACATAAAAAAATTAAAAAATAAATTAGTGGTTTTAAGTGAGTAATTTATTTATAAATTTGCTTCAGCGATTCCTCATATATCTCAAACCAATTCTCGGAGATCCCAGTGCGAAGTGATATGATAAACAATAGGTTTCTGGAACGCGTTTACATCTTAAACCAATGGACATTTGATAACGTTTACCGAAATCGAATTTGCACAACTTCACACTACATATAATTATCGTGGGTTATTTAGAACTGACCTATTATTTTGACAATAAGAATGCGAATGTTGGGTATTGTTGTCTCCTTGGCTTGCGACATAATTTACAAAGACTAAAAATATAGTTCTACTATATATAATATTCGTGTTATATAACAAAAAAAAATAGAATCTTCAAAATAGTCAAATATCGCATATCTATATACAAGTGCTTCCTTGATTAGCTGTCTTTTGCGTGGCTATATAAAATTTAAAGTCATACATGATCTCTCTTGTGGCATTGCTAATTCATTTGAGTTTGATGATATATTTGCTATTTGCCCTCTGTTTTGAAGCTCTATATGTTGACCATGTTCATTTTCTGATCCTATGTCTGAGATATGGCCCTCGTCCTCATCTGAAATAGGAAAATTGTAAAGATAATGCAAATTTGGTTTATATTTACTCCAAGTGATGTTTACTAACCGGTGAAATGCGATTCCGACATATCTTCTGTAGATTCAATTTTCTTCTTGCAAAATTATATTAACAATCTGATCTTGAACAAAATAAAACCCTCAACTAAATTTCATCTTTTTATTTTTCAAGTCGAAATCTACGCGCAAATGTTTACTGCACGTTACAATTAGCTACATGCCTTTAGGCAATTAAATCTTGTTAATCTCGTGGTAAAATCATCGCAACGTCGAAAAGTCGTCACTTCACTAAAGTGACTTCTTTTTCAATTTGTTTATCTATGATTCGTCCTTAATTTCTTGTAAAAATGCGCACTGTTGGAGTTTCAATATATAAAAAGTGATGTGAAAAGTGAGAAACATTCTTTCACAAACGACTCTAATACCATTCCTTGTATACATGTATTTCCTCATAATTGTATGTTATCTTAGCGCAATTACCTTGTTCGGTCACGATTTATCTTCACATGACACTTTAGAATAGGTTGTCATAAGAATAAAGACAGAATTATTTGACCCACAAAACGAGCGTGGGCCGGACAAAACCAACGTTGTTGACCTTTTTTGTCAGAATATGCTGCTGGTCTATTTTTTTGGAAATCATTTTCGCAAAATGTAGTTCTGATGAAACAAAATTTGACAAAAATGTAATTAATGAGAATGTGAGAATAAGATTCCAGGTTTCACGGTCAAAGACCGGATTTTGAGCATTAAGCTTGGTATCCGATAGAAATACGAAAAAAAGATAAAATGTCTTGAATTTCCGGGTCACTATTAATATAAAAAATACGCAGCTGTCTCAATTAGGTGATTCAACCATTTAAAACAAGAGAGCAATGGTTAAATTTAAAGACACGAAAGCCATGGACCTTTCCCCGAGCATCGACTTCCTCATTTACTACGTGACATTGGCTAATCAGCAAGTAGCAAAAAGTGAGTAACAATGCTCCCTTTTCGCATCCGCTCAGACACTTTTCTCACTCAGACAGATTTTCCAGCGTGGTCGTAAACATTATCTCGTTTTCCCGTTTTTGAACTCTATTCGTTAGTTTTCAGTTGTGTTTAGGAAACTTAAATATAAATCAGATAATTCAATGATCACTCTGTCTTTCTAGGAGTTTTAATTTATTTGCAGTAATAAAAAATTAGTGTAGAAATAGCTGTGATAGACTAGGCTGAAATTCTCTACCGATGCTTTCAAAAAACAGATGGTTGTATGCGATGAATCATAATGATGGTTTGAAACACATACCCCGTTTTACAGGCGAAAAAATCGCAAAAGCACTCCTAAAATAGCCCCGAAAATTTTGCAATGGTAAAGTATAGGAAGAATTTTTCGGGGTCAAAGGTCGGGGAAAAGTCCATAACCAAGTTGTTTATCTTACAGTGCGTTTCTGGTATCAACTAACCTTTGACTTTCGCGTAGCACGAGTTCGCAAAATAAAAGCGGAAGACAGCCGTCACGCTTGGCGGAATAAAACCGTGTTCCCACAGTAAAAAAATAAGACAGCAAAATTGTGAATGAAATATTAGATTCATCAAATATTTAGGACTGAATAAAAGTAATAGCCTTGTAGCTATTGTAATGTTGATGAAATACTGCTATATTCTATGCCCTATATTTGGTCTATGACGTAATAATATTAGGACATCTAGTTTAATCCACGTGATAGGGATTCTAGAACTAATCTATGTCAGTGGCGGACGTATGTTGTATTTCTATTTACTTTTATTCAATATATATTCTGTGAGCAATTCAAGCCTGTGTTACTTGGATTCAGGCCTTTGAATATTACATCTGGCGATGAGGATTATTTTTAAGTCTCCAACTTACGTGGAATGGAAAAGATCGTTGGAAATAATTTGCTTTAAGTTCTACCGTAACGCTACTTACTGTGGCCGCTAACTTTAAACGTTAAAAATGGCGTCTGCGTTTATTTTTCAAGTGTCGAACCAATATGAAAGAAATGGCTTGCACGATTTGATAACTTGACACTTGCAATGAATATCGAAAATTCGTACGCAGACAAGCAAAAAAGAAATCTTCAATGTTGCACTATATGGGTGAGCAATGTTACGACATTTATGAAACCTTGAAGGAGAAAAGTGATACTTTTGCTGATACCAGAAAAAAATGATTATTATAACTGATTATTAAAAAATGACTGATTATTTGCCCCAAAAGCCAATAGTGAGTACGAAATTTACCTGTTTCGCAACACGAAACAATATGAATGTGACTGTGAGTCACTTGGTCAATTTTGTACACGACTCAAGAAAATGTAAGTGAACTGTGAATTTGAGGGGGAAATCTAACGTCATAAAATTCAGGGATGCAAATCGTCTGAATAAAAAAAAAGTTTGGGCAAAAGAATGGATTTAAAAACCCTACTCGACACTGCTAAAGCAATGGAACTGGCAAAATCTCACTTGTCTGGCATGGAGGAAAAATCTGAAGACACTGCACAAGAACAGGTACTCCCGTAGTATGTGCAACAATGGCGGGCACCGGAACGTAGCATGTGTATCAGGTCAGGTTTAGGCCATAATTCCAGGTACAAATACTACGGGAGTCACTTGGCTAGTCCCCGAACTAGTAATAGAACTAAAATAAGGAAAATCAGAATAAAATTATGGCCTAACCCTAACCTGGTACACATACTATGTTCAAAACAAGAGAAGGGGTCTAGTGAAGGACCAGCCGCAATCATCTTTTCTTAGCGGTATGTTACTGTTTTTCAAATGTCAATAATTCTCTTGGTATCAGTCCGTCGCATAAAAGTACGTTTGGGTTTGTTGTTTGTCAAACAAGCAGGCCCTTTTTTCTCAAGGCCTCTGGATTTGTCGAGTGTTCTCTCATATTGTCTTTGAATCTGCTTTTTTCTTTTCGTTAAAATGCACTTATTGCCGTTTCATAAACTCCAGACCTGTTTCTAGTGTGGAGCAAAAGTTTTTTGCTTGCTGTACGTGATACAGTATTTCATTGTCTCTATACTCTTGATAATTTGGTGCGCGTCCTTTCGAGTGGCCATAAGCTGAAGCCTGGCCATCTTTCGTGACGATAGCTCTTTCACTGCATCACCTCCTGTAGGAACGCTATGTTATATTTAACGCCCCACTTTTCCTGCAACATTTCTCGCAGATAGTCCCAAGAGTAGAAACCTTCGCTGGCATATGGGCACTTCTCATGTCTGCAGTGAGGTATTACCGGGCGCTGTATTTTTTCTCCAAATTCCTGTGTTTTCCTGTCTGGTGGTGTCACGTACATAGCCCAAATTCCTGTCTCGCCTTCTTCGCATTCATTTCCAGCCAGTAGGCACGTGATAAACCATCCAAAATAAAAACTTCTTTAGTTGACTGGTGTAATAATTTAACTATTTGGAATCCCGATAAGTGATTTAGCCATCGCTGTAGACTTTTATTTTCAAAATAATATAACAAAAAAACAATCTTAACATCTGCGAGCTTGGGTTTTTGAGCTTTTCTTTCATTCTTTTGAATAATCAAAAAAAAAACGTACTGCTCGGATCATATGCTCTGGCTGCGGGGGTGTTCCATTTCTGACCATAGTACGCTATAGGGTAAACGTTTTTGAATGGTGGTTCTTCCCCCTCTTTTGTTTGAAACATGACAGCGCCAAACCCATTCTCTGAAGCATTCGTTTCGACATACAAAGGAAGCCTTTGGTCTACGACTCTATACATAATATAATATTTTCGTATTATTCAGTTGGCGTCGTGCGATCTTGTAGTCTTCAAGTAATTCTCTAGTCTATATTACTGGCGTGACTCAGGCTATTGTGGCAGGTACGTTTCCTGTTAGGGCGTCAAACTTTGCTTGTTTCAGGCTTAGTTCCCGAATATGATCTGCTATATAACTCAGAGCACCGATCTATCCTCTAAGTTGGTATATATTTCGTGGCCGTGTGAGTTCTTTTAACGCCCTCAGTCTTTCCAGTTGAATCTATTTTTTTTCCACTTAAGGTCACGCCTAGAAGGTTGATTCGTGATGCTCTCTTATTGATGCTTTCGATTTTCGTTCAATTTCATTTTTGCCAATTGTTCGAAGGTCATTTGGAGCAACATTAGGTGGTCCTCAACTGTTTTAGTGCTCAGGAAAATGTCGTCTATGTATGCCTCTATCGGCGACGCCTTTGCCTTTTCCAGTCGGTTATTGTTAGTCATCTGTTCCCGGTATGTCCCTGTTGTGGGTTTCACCACACACTCTTGCATGATAGCCGACCATAACGCAACGGCAGTTTTGAGTCACATCGGCATTTTGCGTCAACGTATGTGTAATCCTTTCACTGCTATTCCAAGAAAGGTTTTAGACTCTTCGGTCACATCACAATGAAAATAAGCTTTCTTGAGGTCGAGAAACGTGAATACCTCTATTCTCTGCGCCATTTGCTTTACATCGGGTATTAAGTGAGGCGGAATCTCGATCGTTTTCATCGCCGCATTTAAGGGTTGAAGGTTTTGCACAACCCTCCAGGATTGCTGCCAGCCCTCCTCTTGCTTTTGCCGTTAATTCATCTTTTGAGGCACCACGAATATTGCCAGTTCCCATTCCGCGAACCCCGTCTCTAATACTCCGAGGGCCTGTATACCTCCTCCTATATTTCATCCTGAATTATGGTGCTATCGGGCGTTTTTAATCCGGGTGGGGTATATAACACTTTTGCGGGACCTCCAGAAGTATGCGCACCAAGATAGCGCACAACCTGAACATAGGTTAGGATTCAGGTTGTGCGACATCTTGGTGCGCATACTTCTGTAGCACCCTTTTGTGAGTGCTTCTGCTTCGTCGCTAAGTCTCTGTAATTCTTCCCTTACTTCCATCGAAGTTCCTTCCTGTAACCTGTACCGAAGTACCTTCATGTATGTGACGGATGATTTACCTGCATTCTGTGCGTCATTCCGGAATTCCAAGGTTTGGCCCTCTCTAGGGCTGGGACTCTATCCTCCGGATCTGGTCCCCCTTTTGTGTGCTTGAATGTCTGGTCTTTCGAACTCTATTCTTGACCAGAGGTATTGGGCAACTTTAAATACAACTCTGTACTTCTCCCCTCCCTGTAGGCTCCTGGCAAATGGTCGTCACCCTCTGATTCTCCCACGGCCATTACCAAATTACTTATACA